TAGTCTAACAAACATTTCGGTGGTCATGATATCGAATGACCTGCGGATCATCCACTACATGTTGAAAGCTTTGCCGGCAGCTGTCGTCCAGTGTTCACTGAACTTAAAGTCTGATGACAGCAAAACACGGAGGTCAGATTGGAGTTGAACCCGCGGTACCTCGTTGAAGCCAAGCGACACTTCACTTGGGTTTTCCCGTACATTGGCAAGGATTTCCGAGTAGAAACTCTAGTTAGTTCACGCAGCGCACAATCTGGAACTGACTTCTTAAACCCGGCGGCATATTTGCCGACCGAAGGCAGTTTCCATTCATGTGAATGGGCGTGCATGTAAGCGCACAGTTACCGCCCTTCAGCTGGACCACAGTGTCTCCCAGGCCATTCGGTCTTAAGATCTGAAGCGCCTTCAAGTGCTTCATGCTCACTGTCCGCAAAGCCTTGTTGGGGCCCAACGGCACCGACATGTCCGCTACGATGAACTGAGTACGCAAATACGGCGTAGTGCTATTTATGCGAGCTCACTAGAACAACAGCTCGCACTGATTAAGTTTCTGACATCCCAAACGAATGGCATATAGGAAAGCAGCAGCGTACCAACAATAAACTGAGAACGAACTGAATATTGCCCGTTAGGTCGGACACATATGTTGACTCAACAATCTTTTAGGATGCCGTATGCCTGCTGGGAAATGAGGGGCGCAAATACCTGAGGATTTCGGAAACCAGTGGAACCCAAATATCTATTACGACGTAGGATGATTGGCTGAGAGCAGATAAATCTTCTGACCGAGCTGCACCGCGATGTTCCCTAATATAACTACCTTCTACTTGATGGAGTCTCTTTCCTTTTTCATCTACATGTTTTCTTTCCATAGCAGTTTCGGAGGGCGTGGTGAGATGTCAGGCTTTCCCCCGGCGTGCATTCTGTTTAAATGCCGCATAAGTCCGGTGAAGACATGGCTAACCCGCAAGTCTAACCCGCTATAATTTTGCCTGGCCTTTCATTAGACCCGACCCGAATTCTTGGTACCCTATGGATCATATAAAGCTCGGGCTTTTATTCCCATTACATATAATGTTCCAATGTTCCCATGTACCATGAGGTTCAACGCCCCAGTGGCAGTGAATGTAGTACACGATAGTTGTGATTCAAACTGATAAGCCAGACCTAAAACTTCGTTTATGCACTTCAAAGGAAACGTACCTGCGCAGAACAGGGATTCCCTACTGCTGCAGGGAATCTGTGGACAGCAAACCGCCAGACACCTAAAAGTCGAAGTCCGCCCATGTTGCCAGGTTGGATGCCCTTTCAGTTACAGAGTCACTGTTTAATTTCGCAACCGTGGCACGGTAAGCTCACCACTCATAAATCGGACATATCATTCAGCTCCCCTTGCTTTTGGCTTATGTAACTCAGTCTACGGTTACAGTAGTTGACACGGCCACTGGATATCTTAGTGACATTTGTTGCTCTGTCTCTTGGTTAGTTCGGTTTGCTCCCTGCCGAGCTTGTTCGCTGACAGAAAAGTGAGAAGATCACTATGGTCTCTCTGTGTTTCCAAATTTCCGGGCTGTTGCTACTGCATTGGCCTCTATGTTTTTGAACGGTGGTACGTCTCCAGTAGATTTGGACGCTGTGCTGGTACGGCATGCTTCTGCTTCAGGATGAGACGCAGGTCGAACACTTCATTTAGTCGATTCAGCGGGCGACGAATGGGACGAAGATATGCATGGATAAGCAAATCAAGCAGATCCCAAAGACAAGGATACGAAGACAGATAAGGATGCAGTAGCGGATGCTAGTGATGTACTCGATAATGTTCTACGTACAGAGCCGCTGATCCTTTAGGAATCTAAACAAATTGACGAGGGACCGTAGTCACCTGTGACTATCCACGTAAATGGTGAATTGTACGACACAGCGAACGCAACCGATGGTTAAATTCCCCCACGTGGTCGTCCGCCTCCACCTTCCGTTCCAACAGATTGGGACCCTTTATTCCCCTCTCAAACTCATTCTAATCTGTTGTCTATCGTTCTCCAAAGTCCCTTGTCTCAGTCAAACTGCAGTGTTTAATGCAGTCAAATGAACATTCCGTTTCATTTCCAAGCGTTTTGTGCGGCATTAGCCACGTATCTAACCTCTTAGTTAATGCTCCTGTTTGCCGATAATCCCCGAGTGAGGATAAAGCATCTACTGGATCTGGAGTTATTTGACTGGATTTAACGGACTGGATTTATCGACACACCGATCCATCTTAGGATACCTTCTGGATTCGGATTGTTCACTGAGTCCGTTTAACTGTGCCGAACCGCAGGCGGGTGCACGGTTAAAACGAAGATTGCTCGATCGATCGGCATCTTTGCTGGACAAATTCCTTCTGTTTATTGGTCACCTTTTGCCATTCACATGTGGTTTGGAAGCATTTACGAACTCTCCCAGCCCATTTGAATCCGATGTACGTCTCAAGCTTCCTGCGTCGGCTACTCGGACGAATTTTCTCGCTACGCTGTCCGCAATCCGCTCCCAGACACACCGTTGTCCAATGCGTTCGCCTGTTACACTGGCGTCTTGTGACTCCGCCTCTGGAGTGACGCTTTAGGATAAGCCGAGGTCATCGACCACACCTGGGCCATGCATTTGTCCATTAAACGGGTAGGTGCCGATACCGTGCAAGGTAGCAAATCCCACATCGCTTCCACAGATTTCTAGTAGCTCTGGTACGTCTCGTTCAAGATCAACACATAGCAAAATATGCGCCACAACAGTTACATCTACCAACATACAATGCCACAAGGTATATCCCCAATAATTCACTTGGTGAGTTGCTTCAGCCAAAAGTAATTCGCAATATTGTTCAGCAATGGCTCCATACCCGATGACACGAGAAACAAATATCTTACAACCTTGCCCCCTTTCTTTGGTAAATTCACCCTTTAACTTGAAAGAGAAATGCGCCTTGCAATCCAGCATCCTGTAACTGTGTAGCATTTATTATACGGTGAGATTAGCAACTTACCTTTTTCCACGAACGTTGCTACGCCTGCCATGAACACAGCGATACGGCACATACTGATACGGGTACTCCCCTGGCAAACGCTTTCCCGGTTTGCCGTTCATAATGCTGCCGAGTCACTGCCGCAAATTTGTAAAATCTGTGGCAGTTGTAAATTAACAATCCATTACCTCGGATTCAAACCCTTCTCATTTCCCATAATATGTGCGCACCGAGAGACAGATCTTTCGCAATCATCCAACCTGATGACAGTTACAAACGTGGTGCGAAGAAAAGCTCAACGTTTCCATAGGTCACAAAATTCGTGGTAAAGAGGTGTTTACCACGTTTCCATACACATTTACTTCCGCTTGGTTAACGGCATTTAGGCGACGAGTTAAACTTAAACCCATGCAACCAATGAATTTTGAATGGCCTAGGACGGACTTGCATTGTCAACTCATCGGCGTACGCAGATTTGTCCAAAATTAACTATTTCTTCTGATCCGAGCAACCGAGCACTTTGCGATTGATTGCATTAACAGTTGAATTGTAATACACGTTTTTTGCTTTTCCATATCTAAGGCGCTGAACCTGATGATGTCCTTCTCGCAAGTAAGAGTCACAAGTTAGAGGGTGTTTTGCATGCAGATAATGGCACGATGAATCTATACTATCAACATCTCCCCTCCGGCCTTTCTTTGGCGTGGCGCTCTGCGAATGGCTAAGGGCCCTATTCTTATATTCGTCATTCATGTGTATCTCAGAACTGTTTATGCTTCGACACCAAACATTTTCGCACACCCGATGACTGTTGTAACCCTGCGGTGCAATTTGTTTTTGAATGCCTATCCAACTAGCGGCACCATAAAGAAATAAGCTCTGAGTGTGTGAATATTTCATCCTACTCATTTGGGGCCAGGTGAAATAAAATACAAACAACAGAGGGCATCAGCTAGCGGATGAAACGAAAGAGGTTGAGCAGCGTACATCTTGTATTCTTCTTCATTTCTACCTTATGTTTGTGTTCCGTCTACTGAACTTGTTTCAAGTGCCTTGTCCAACTTAAACAACTTAATCACCGTCATACGAAGCTCACTGCTAAGAGTCAAACATTTGCTGCATTTGTAGCAGTCTGGAGATTCCCCGGTTTGCTTGTGTAAAATTCTAACCAAAATTCTTTAATTGTACACTTAGGCAACCGGTGTGGTTTGTTGAACTGCTTGCTGAGTTCGAATGCTTTACTTGCTCATCGCCATTTTTGCTTGGCGCTCGCTTCGGTTGCAACGCGCGACTGCTCTGTGTGCTGTGCTTGATCTGTTCCCCTAGCTAGAGCGTCCACGGTGTCGTTCATTTATAGCTAGCTAACAGGGAATCTTTTGCTGAACCAATAAAAGTTTCCCTGCAACTCGATCCGTCTTCTCGAATCGCTCTCTGGGCTCCCGGAATAGGCAACCCTCTAAATTGGTGACCCCGAATCCGGATCAACCTCCGCGATCATGTACAATATTGCAATATGCTGATCATGCACAAAAGGCGTGTCTCCCTTTGTCGAGAATAAAATATTTATTTACTTATTTATTTATTTATTTATTCCATCTTCACTATTCTCCCCCTGCTTTTAATGACCCAATGTTTAGCCTTCCCTCACCTTGCTTCAATATTCGCTTGGCTTCTTCTTTCAACTCACATGTGAACGCGGAGCGTCATTCCCGCTCTGTCAAAAGGTCCATGTCTAAGCAAGCGGTCAAGCCCAGTCCATTGGCTTCCATTTGGAACCCACGATCCTCCCTCTGATTAGCACGACTTAGTGGACACATATTGTTTCAGATCGGCCAAAAGGCAGCACTTGGCCGAACATTAGAGACCCTCTCGATCGATATTTGCTGCTTATCAGAGACCCGCCTTCAAGGCTCAAGTTCTGTGCTCACTCTGCCATCCCCATCAGGTGACACTCGCAGCAACTTCTCATTGCGCCTATATGGTGACAAGGCAGCTTTGAGTACTGGCCAAGTCGGTGTTGTTATTGCACTGAGCCTACGGGCTGAAGCTACTTGGTTGATTGGATCCCTGTCAGTAGCCGGATGTGTGCGGTCCGACTGGCGGGCTCGTTCGAAGATTCGAAGCCGCACGGTACTAACAGGTGTCTATTTGGTATTGCTGCCTATGCACCCACAAACACTAGCGATGACTCGGTAACAGACGACTTTTATCGTCAACTGAACGCGCTCCGCCATAGAAATAGATCGGGCACTGTAGTGCTGTCTGGGGATCTGAGCGCTCAAGTTGGAACATTATCCACTGATGAACTGCATCTGGGCAGCCAATATGGTGTAGGCTCCCGTAATGATAATGATGAGCTGTTACTTTAGTTGTCAGAGGATACTCGCGTATTTCTTGCGAGCACTAATTTTCGACACAGCACCCGCCGAAGGGTGACTTGGAGCCCACCGGCCTCGAACCAGCTATAGACGCAAACCGATCATATTGCCATAAGTTACCAATGGAGAAGCTGCGTCCAGAACTGTCGCTCGATTTGGAGCACACCGACCAAGCACTTGTAGGTGCTGACCTGCGTATGCGCTTTGGCGGAAGCCCACGACGACCCTGTGACCGCATTGACAACAGCCAACCGGCGAAGCCAGCTGTTTTGCATCCCTAGTAAAGTACGCTGTCATGCGATTTGAGTAAGCGCTCAAGGATGCAGTGGAAGCTCACTGGTCTCATACTCCCCAAAGTTTACTGGCAGCAGAAAAATCCTCAGCTTGTATGATCGTCAACAGGGATATTGATTCTCTTCTCAGTCTCTGGAGCTTATGGATGCACGCCGGCATATTCCGATTGGAAGCCAAAACCATGAAACTCGCAAAGAGCTCGGGGCAAAAGTCTGCGCATCAGAGATGGAAATGGCCGCTGCGCTCTGAATGCATCATAAGTTTTTCCGGCTGATATGGGAAACGGGCAGCAGGAGACCTGATGTAAGTGAAACCCTACGTGATGAGAATGAACAACCCATCCACAACTTGTCAAAACGCTTGGCACGTTGGGATTAGCATTTTGAAGGGCAATTTAATAGGTCGGATTTGTTAGTTTTCTCGCCGGCCACTGATCGCTTCGCTCTGTGAGCTGTCCATTACGATCCACCCTCTCTCTCAGAAGTCAAACGTGAGATCGAACTGTTGAAGTTAAATCAAGCCGCTGGAGCAGATGATCTGCCTCCAGCCCTCTTCCAATTCGTGGAACCTGCACGTTTGGATTATTTACACGAGTTATTAGTGAAAGTGTTGGAGAGGGAACCTCTTCCAACCTACTGGAGCTGCAAAGTCATGATCCCAATTTTCAAGAAAGGCTCACGCTCGGAGTGCGGCAGCCATAGTGGGATCAGACTGCTCTCTATCGCCTCCAGATTGCCTGCATATATCATGCTGCACAGACTGACTATGACTCGTGAGAGTCATAATCGTAAAGCGCAAGCCGGGTTTCTTCGAGGTCGTGCCTACACTGACTACACATTCACTTTGTTTCAGTTGATGGCGCACCATCACGTAGATTGGTGGCCCACCGTTGTCGGGTTCCTTGATATCAATGATTCACGCGATTCAGTGGATAGACGTTCACTTGGAGCTGTCTACTAAGGAAATGTGTACCTGAGAAATAGGAGAAGATTACCCACTCATTACACTCGCGTAGCTCGGGCAGAGTGAGGGCTTACGCCAAGCTGTCTTCGCTCTTCAACCTCTCCAGCGGTGGAAGCAAGTGTGACCGCTGTCCCCTTTCCTCCTCAACCTCGCTGTTGATGAAGTTATGGAAATCGCGTTTACTGGACGCGGCTTAAAATATGTGGAGCTGCTTCGAAGCAAACGACTTATTGAATTGTAGTATGATGACAATATTGCCTTGATAGTGAAAGCGCACCAACGTTCCAAGCTGCACTGGAAAGATTGACACTGGCTGTCCAACAATTCGAGCTTTGCTTCGCACCCGCGAAGTGCAAACTGTTCCTCCAAGGTTGGCCTGCACCGCCTCCTACGTGGCCCCTGGGTGGGGATCAGCTAGGAGTCGTACAAAACTTCAACTACAGGTGAACTTTTGTCTTTGCCCGCGGGATTGAAGATAAGATCAGGAACCGTATAGCGATAGCTCAAAACGCCTTTGCGAAGCGTCACTTATGACGCCGGCACGACATCACTCCGCCCTGAAGGGTAGTGTGTACAAAGCAGTGGAGCATTCGACCCTATTGTACGGTCGTGAAACCTGGCCGCTTAAAGCAGCGGACCTGAAGAGTCTAGTTACGTTCGACCACTGGTGCCTTCTCAATTTAGCTCCCAAATGGTGAAAACACCGTGTAAGCAACGAGTGTGTTTAACGTTTTGTGTACGGCACAAGCAAAGGATGCAAAACGCTTAGCGCCGTTATTTCACGCACTGGGCTCCGTTGGCTCGGCCACGTGTTGCGCATACAAGCCCACCGACTCCCGCCACGTACAATGTTTGCGCGCCGAGGGTGTGGATGGAAGAAGAGAAACGGCGGCCAAGCGATGAGTTGGTCGAGAGGAATGAAGGCCCTCACTGCGAAGCTGGCCTCGTTTGGAGCGTCTCAGCTCACTGGTTGGGATCCGAAAGATGATGGACACGTTTGGTTGGATACACGTGCTGATATGGCTAGGAGCCGAACACAGGGACCTTCGTATAAATAAATAAGTAGTTAAATAATTTATTCCCGAATTTTTCTGGTCACACTAAACCAGGCCTTAGTAACATTTACGTGCAATTATGTTTCGCAACAACCACGTTGCTACGTAGGTAATGGTCAGTAAGCTGAAAGTTGTACAAGCTGTGGAAATTGTAAAGGTAATTATGAGGAATAAAGTCATCAATGGATGACGATACGTTGGGTTTTAGCGTGCTTGGGCAAACAGTCAGGACACTATATGTGGAGTAAAAGTGATACATGTAGGCAGGGAGTATCCCATTATGAAATTGTCAATAAAATATCAAATTATGATTCTAGTTGACTTGCCAGTATGTAGTGGTGGTTAGTGACTTTATTCATTGGCAAGTCCCATCCGCTACGTCGCAGTGTTGTTAAACGGACATTTATGGCATTTTATAAGGAGAACGCTTGCCAGGGTAGAACCCATCACGTCCTGGAACATTGTCAGATATCAGTTTTTACACTAATGTACAACTGGCAGAGCAGCTTGCCTACGGACTTCACTCTCGGTTATCTGCAGTCAAGTGCTTTCCAATATTTTCTGTTAGTTGCTCAGATACCTTGGTCAGGACCGCCATAATCGCGGAGGCCAATGGAGGATGGGAGCTTCACAAAGCGTCGCCTTTGTGAGTGTCCAGGTGAGCCAAACAGTTTCTTGTGTCTGGAGTTTGCAGGTTATGTATACTTCTCATGAATGTGAAGGCACCGTGTCCAGCTATCATTAATAGACAACGGTCACGGTAGTGAGTGCAGTTGTATCCATTTGTTGTACAGCTATGTTCTTTGTAGTACCTTGTGGGTTATTATGTCCTGTCCCGGGCAAAAACAGTTTCTCGGTCCAATTCCAGATCCCCAAGAAGTTCCGGACCTCGGAGTGAAGCGAAGATGTGTATTTTTGTCCCACTCTATCCCACCGTTGCCTTCCCCTCTAACCACCATCTTACTATTAAGCCTTATATATTTTTGCATAGTAAATGTTTGCAGCATAGTAGCCGGCTGGTAAATTACCGGAACGGTGTCCATCCATTACCGGTAGCTCAGCTGACTTGCACGTGTTGCACATTTTTCTCCTTCCGTCTACTAAGCAATGCTGCAGATTAGCTGCGTGTTTTCCCACTATCTAACGTGTAAATGATGATGATGATGATAACACTAAGATCCGGATAGACTACGTAGATGAAGGCTTGCTTTACTAAGAGATTAATAGTACATGGACTGCCAAGCGGTCAGTTGTGCAAAGGATGGTTATAGTGAAGAAAGTAGGCCGTAGCTAGAAAAGGATTGGATGGTAGAACAAGGGATGCTATGAAGCTGCCGTTGTGGAATATGATAGCGCTTCTGCGCTTCACTAGCTTGAGCAAACCACTCAAATGTAGAGTTCTACTATGTCAGAAGGAAGCCAAGTGAACGCGAAGTACACTGAGGACAAAAGCCGGATAATCAAAGTAGAAGAAGAAGACGCTCATTGTTGATTAGGGAACCTAGAATGTCGAGCAGTCAGCTGGGTGGAGGAGGGTTAAAGTAAGATAGGCCGTTACTGAAGTGTATGGGTTGTCGAAAAAGCAATACTATGAATTAACAATTGTGGACTAGGATAACGCACCAGTTTTTCTACAGATTAGGCGCATCACTTGCAGGTGGCATTCTACTGTGGTAAAGGCCGTCGAAAGGTTGCAGAGGGCAATGAGCTAATAACAATTTAACTAAGTTGCAGGAGCCGCCCGTGCTGGAAAGATTAATGGACCAGAACAGCTTTGCAATCGGTTAAGTGAAGGAAGTTTATCGTGAAGGAAGAGAGACCGTAGCTGAAGCAAGGATTTGGTTGCAGAACAAATAATACTATGAAGCAATAATTGTGGAATCGTTTGGCGTAGCGGCGCTTTAAAAGTAAGCTGTGTACAACCCACAGCTTTATTGAAAACAGCGTCTCAGAGTTAGCTCTGGAATGGATCTGGGGTTGCAGATGGTGATTGGCAGCAGCGCCGAAATGCACTAAGTTCTTCACTGCAACGTGGTCTGCTACATGGTATTGCGCCAGGCGAATGTTCAGCAGAGAAGAGTGAGAGTATGAGCCAGATAATTTTCGAGGTAAGAGCTGTACGTTGTCGTGGGTAGTGGATAAGGACTGCATAGTAGTCATAGTTTAGAGGAGGATTGTAGGGAGAAGGGACTGAAACTCGTATTCACAGTTAAACTAATGTTTCAGTCACCTAGGTTGTATATTAGAGTTAGCGGAATAAGATGAGCATCATGGAGTTGGACGTGCGGATATTTACGACAAAGTGCTAGATTCTGTCATTGCTTAGTCGGAGACCGATATACCTGAGGTGAAGGAGAGTTAAAGGTTGAGACCTGTGTCCGAGAGTTTGGTTTCGGATCGAGGCCATGTCCAAAACGTTTCTCCTAGGGTATATTGGTTTTAATTAGCTCGCGCGTATCTATGGTAGCATGCTCTCTATATATAGTTATTTGGAACTGGGGATCGTTCGACCAGCAGCCCACGGTCTCCGCTGCTTCACATAATCTCGAAAACGACAGGAGACTGGCAACCATATGGCGCGTACCGGACCCTCAACAACGTGACAATTCTGAATCGTTATCCTATTCCTCACATACTGGATAAAACCGCCGGTCTTCATGTCGCGATCTGGTGCGAGCTTATCACCAGATCCCGGTCGTTGACAAGGACATACCGAAAACTGCCATTATTACCCTATTTGGCATATTCGCGTTTTATATGAATGTCATTCGTTCTGCGCAACGCCGCGCAGACTTTTCA